GTCCCCTGAGATCTGCCTCATTTTTTTTCCTATGGTTTTAATGAAATTGAGAGCATCACTTCCGAACATGCCTAGGGTATTGGTAACGATTGGAACAAACGGTGTTGGTGAGGCAAGCATATTTGTTTTTTTTAGGATTTCTGCCTTTTCGATGGCAGAAGATGAGACGTTGGACTTGGCGGCAAAATCGACACAAATATAGTCCCAAGCGAGTGGGAGACCATTGGTCCAGGGAATGAGAGATATGCCATGGCGTTTTAGTTTGAGAGGTTCACTGGTTCAAGGGTGGATGGAATATTAATTTTTTAAGAGCAGCTAGGAGAATGTTGTTAATAGATTTATAACACGCTTGTCGTCCATGGGGGAACTTGCAGTGCAAGGAATGGTAAGCTTTCGACGATGGGGTGGCCACAGTCGATGCAAATGGAGGGAGCCACCGCATTACAGCCAAGGCGGAGGGCCATGGAAATGAGTAGCTCTTCGCCAATCAAGAGGAGGCTTAGATTGGAACTGGGGATGGCTTTCAGACATTCGTAACCTGAGCTTGCATATAATACTAAATTATTAGGATCATCCTCAAAGGGCCTGTTCGAAATTAGGTATTCATCGGAACGGGCGATCATAGGGCAGTTGCCGTCCCAAAAGGTGAAGGCCTGCGATCCATTATCGATGATAGATTGAGCAGCAAGACGAGATGAGATAAAGGCTGAGAGGGAAAGTTGTATCGGATACCAATACCACCAGACTTACTGGGAAGTGGGCTTGAAGCTAGGATGAACTGGATAATTTTAGGTATATTTTCAAGGACACCCTTAATTTGGGTTAATTTAAATATTTTTTCATTCCTAAAATTATACATGCCTTTCATTCATCAATAATTTTCATGTCCCCTGAAATATTATTAGACCTTGAGGTTCATTATAAAAATACTCTTGAATCTATTTTAAATATCATTCTCTTCACTCTTCAGTATGCAAGCTGCCTCCAGGCAAAGCTAGGTGGTATAGGTATCCATTCCCCTATATACCTAAGCATTTCAGCCAGTGGCGTAGATACAGAGGGGGGGTTTCGGGTTTGGATCCCCCCCCCCAGAGCAATTATTATTTTAGATTATACGTTTAAAAACTCAAAAGTGACTTTATATTAAATAAATACCATTAATATTTATACTTTATTATTTATAAATTGTTTTACAATAGTTTACATAAAATTTATTTTTATATATATATATATATTTTTTTTAATATTTATTTTATTATATATAGCATTTATAATATTTTAATCTATAATTTAAATGTGTTATATAATACTACTAATTATAAAATATATCATTTATATTTAAAGCAACATTATTTATAATCAGCAATTTATATGTGTAATACCAATAGTTATATAGTATATTATTTATAATTAAGTTGATATAATGTTTATAAAGCAATATAATATTTATATTTTAAATAATCGCTGTAAATTGATTTCTATTAAAGTATAATAAATTGTAAAGTATATCTATAATGGTTATGTCGAAATGTGTTATTTTAGTTAAAATTAGTGTTGTTAATAGCTCAATTTGAGCCGATATGGCTAACTCAATATATTAGCCAGAAAATTATGCAAGCCTGAAAATTTTGCTCATGGATGATATAAAGGTTTAGACATTAGTCGTGAAATATATAGGCTTGAGCAATATATTTTTGGCTAAAATATTAAGTTAGCTGTTTATAATAATCGGCTCAAATCGAGCCGTTTAACAATCAATTAAAATGATCAATAATTCTAAAGAAAAACAAATATGAATTTAAAAATAAACTGACGGGCAAAAGGGCCGAAGGCCCGTTAAAAGGGGGTCTGGGGGCGAAGCCTTCCAAGCTTTTATATGTATGGACCCCCTCTAAGGAAAATTTATAGCTACGCCACTGATTTTAGCCTTTTTATACTTAGTTGCTAATCCATACACACTTGGAGACTTGGATACTATCGAATCGCCATCATATGGCAGCATTAAACCTCTGGAGCAAAGATTCTCCAAGCCACTCATATTCGAATTCTATAAGACAAAGGGACTAAAATTTACCATTGATACAGCATTGCGTCCAATACTTACACCGCTCTTTCTCCCCACCCCGAGTCAGAATGACAACAATACGATTCTTTTGCTGGATCAAATAATTCCAGCCTCAGCCATATGCCACCATGTTACAAATGGTTAGAAACTATATCTAGTTCTAATTTAATCTTGTTTATTAACCAACGAAGAACTTGGAATAGCTATAGGTCTTCGTGAAATCGTAACGCCGACATCATGTGTCCCTTGTGAAACTAGCCTTGGACACTTCCCCCCCTCCATACTGTCGTTTTTCAAAAGGCAAATTATCCAGGCACTCTGCCATCAATTCGATCATCAATTAAATCTTGAAATCGACTATTCCTTCTATACTGGAACCCTCTGGCCTCAGTCCTGATGGAATGACGCTAGTCCCTTGGAACCAAGGTATACCCTTCGCTTGGGATTATACATATATAGATCGTTTTGCCAGATCTTTTTCTTTCAACTCCATCACAAAAGCTGAAAATACAAAAACAAATAAATATAGCCACCTTAATAATCTTTTATTTGTTCCGGTAGTCTCAGACACCTGTGGATCATTTGGAACCCAAGCCCTAAAATTTTAAAACAATAGGGCAAAGGTTACGTTTAATCATAGGTAATCCAAAAAAGGATTCTACCTACGACAAAGTATAAAGGATAAAAATATTTGCCTGATTCTTGATCTTTCTGAAGTACATATGAATAATTTATAATCATTAATGATCTATTACCAAACGATAATTTCTTCCAATATTACAACTGTCAAACAGATTTTCTCAAAATATTTTATTCCTACAAAAAAAAATATACAAAAAATAAATAAATAAATACGTACCGATAACATGACGTAGTGATGACAGGACATCGGAAAATAATAATATAGATTAGGCGAACACCAAAAAGATTAGGGAAGAGGGGGCTGGAATGGAAAAGGCACACTGAAAATTATATTTAATAACTAGGTGTGGTTGGGTAAAATGGGTTGTGTGTGAAGATAACATGTAAGTCATCTGCCCCTAAAGAATTTTTTCTAAATGATAGATGAATTGTTGTTGGGAGAGGTGTTGTTAAAGTAACTAGTTACATTTTTGCTAAAAAATAAGTGTAACTAGTTTTATTTTTTGAAATGTAACTGTCAAAAGTAACTAGTTACTTTAAAAAAATATATATGTATACAACTAAATATATATTATATAATTAATTTTATTTTTAATATGTTTTTTTTAAAATAAAAATAAATACTTTATTTTTTCTCTTCTTTTAATTATATATTTTTACATAGAATGTAGATATATAATTTTATAGTTTTATTATTTAAAAAAAACATATTAAAAATAAAATTAATTATATAATTGTATACATATATATTTTTTTAAAGTAACTAGTTACTTTTGGCAGTTACATTTCAAAAAATAAAACTAGACACTTATTTTTTAGCAAAAATGTAACTAGTTACTTTAAAAACACCTCTCCCAACAACAATTCATCTATTATTTAATTCTTTAGGGGCAGATGACTTACATGTTATCTTCACACACAACCCATTTTACCCAACCACACCTGGTTATTAAATATAATTTTCAGTGTGCCTTTTCCATTCCAGCCCCCTCTTCCCTAATTTTTTTGGTGTTCGCCTAATCTATATTATAATTTTCAGATGTCCTGTCATCATTACGTGATGTTATCGTAACGTATTTATTTATTTATTTTTTGTATATTTTTTTTTGTATATTTTTTTTTGTATATTTTTTTTTGTATATTTTTTTTTGTATATTTTTTTTTGTATATTTTTTTTGTATATTTTTTTTTGTAGGAATAAAATATTTTGAGAAAATCTGTTTGACAGTTGTAATATTGGAAGAAATTATCGTTTGGTAACAGATCATTAATGATTATAAATTATTCATATGTACTTCAGAAAGATCAAGAATCAGGCAAATATTTTTATCCTTTTTTTTTATTTACAGATTCCCTAATAACCTTACAACTCATTCCACTATTACTCACAAATCCATGTCAGACAATCTATCAAATGCACTTTTAAAAAATCCCAATTACAAACATCAAAAATTCTATTTCCAGTAATATTTCACCCATTTTAAAATATCGATTATCGGCAAATGTTAAATAATTTTCCGAACCGATCCAATAAAAAATGACGTTTTTAACAAAAAAAAATATTATAAAATTTTTAAAAAAAGTTATATATCTAAAATCCATTTAATTTTATGAATAAAATCGAAATTCATTTTTATGCTTAATTTTTTAATAATAATAATAATTAATTAATAAACATTCTGCCATATTGCGCATTCTGTTTATAAAAGTTGCGATAATCTCTTCAGAATCTGTTTTTAGTGAAATTGACAGTCCCCATCTCCGCAGACTGACCTCTGATAAATTGAAAATTTTGGTATTTCTAAAAATAAATCTTCGTATTAATTTTAAATATTTATTTCAAATTTCATACTATATTTGTTTATTACTTATTATATAAATAAGTGATTTATCAATAAAAATATTTTATATACTTTTAGAATTGCAATTGAATTGAATATAAACTATAACTGATTATTATAATATATTTAAATGACATATGATATGGTATAGTTAAATTATAGATGTTATACTAATAAAAAGTAGTTTCTTTACAGAATATAAAATTAGATAGGGGAGACCGGGGATAGTGTGTTCACAGGGTAGGTATTTCCTTCTCAAATAATTTAAAAATTAATAAAGTTTAAGATTTGAAATTTAAGCCAAATATGTATTATAATAAGGTGCTTAAGTAGGTCCAAAATTGTTTCGGACAAAATTGCTCATGACAAATTTTAAATGCCAATTTAAGTTTCAACATACCCAAAGTAACTTTTTTAAATTTTACATTTTCACGAATAACTTTTTTTATAAAAGTTGTTCAGACTTAATATAAATTCTAAATGATAAAAAAATCTCCATTTTATCATATATAAAAATATTGACAATCATTATGTTAATTTAATATTCTAAATTTAATTTTTAAATGATCCTGTGGACCTGGGGAAGGTATTAGCGGGGTGCGTCTTTTCCTTTTACATACATTCATTAAAATATTGGTTCTGATTTTGTAAAATGGTTCGAACATATATTAGAAAAACTAACAAAGAAAATAATGATAATCAAAAGGCAAGTATTCTTCAAATGCTGAAAGATAAGATACTAACTATGAATACGAATTTAAGTTATGGGAGGTATATTTATATATTTAAATAGTATATATTTAAGAAACTAAGCATTAAGAGGTATAATAAATTGTTCAAAAGGAATGAAGATTTTCAAGAGCTATATCTTCACAGATCAGTATTTTCTCCTATTCAAGAAGCTAAATTAACAGATTATTTAATTAAAGGATCAAGATTATTTATGCCCTAAACAAGTATTTTAATCCTTTGTTATATCATATATCTCTGTAAAATGAATTTTTTTATAATCTTTAAATTTATGCCATGGTATTTCTTTAGTTAAATAATAATAAACTTGAGAAAATTTTTTAAAATTATTTACATTATATGTTAATGAAACATCTTTATTAATTTTAAAATACTTTAAAGTAAGAATTTAACTTATACATTAGAATGATATTTATTTAAGTGTGTATGATATATATTTAAATAAAATGATGCTGCCATTTATGTATAAAATGATGCTGCCATTTATGTATAAAATGATGCTGCCATTTATGTATAAAATGATGCTGCCATGTATATATATTAATTTTAAAATGATGCTGCCATGTATTAATATTAATTTTAAAATGATTTATTAATTGTAGCATTATATATATTATATCATGCATTAAATCATATCTTACCTATATATTAAAGATTTAATTATGTGTGTATGATATATATTTAAAATAAAATGATGCTGCCATGTATATTAATTTTAAAATGATTTATTCATTGATTTAGCATTAAATTATATCATGCATTAAAACATATTTTAGTTCTTACCTATACAATAGAGGTTTAATTATGTATGATATATTTTATTATATTAATTATAAAATAAATTCAGAATAAAATTTAAGAATTAGGATTTTAATTAGATTGCCTTAATATATAAATAATTTAATGTCTTATGTTTAAATTTAGGTTAGAATTTTAGCTTATCAAATGGCCAAGAGGTATAGTTTACAAGTACCAAAATCTTGGGAAATAACTCAATCAGCTGGTGAAGACTGGTTTGGAGCATTTATTAAAAGAAATCCAACTATTTCTTTGAGAACACCAAAGGCTACAAGTATAGCCACATTGGATAGAACTGTTTTTGGACCTCTAAAAAATATTACAACAGTGCCTTGGATGCTTGGATGAGAATGCATCCAGGGAAAAGTTTTACTATATATGATATCCCTAGAGTAGTAAAGGATGTCCTTCCAAAAGCCACCTCAGCTTCAAATATCCAAAAGGGTTTTGAATCCTCAGGTATATGGCCCCTAAATCCTTTCATTTTTAATGATGAAAATTCTAATCCTTTATATTATAATAATAATAACGATTTTAAATGAGAATTTAAATTTATCTGAAATTATTTCGCAACCATCTGTCAGTGATAGTCCTGTTCCATCATCTTCTCACGGGGAAAAAGATTTTGCTCCAGAAATTATTAATCCCCATTCAACAATATTTAAAAAAACAACACGTAATCAAATGACCTCAGCCATTTTAACCTCTTCACCTTACAGAAAAATAGCCAGATCTAGGGCTAATAATCTGAAAAAAAAATCAAACCAATAATAAAAAAAGTTTAAATATGAATGCTGGCAAAAAAGAATTTTGTTTAGTGTGCCACAAAAACTATCAAACTCACCACCATAATGAAGATTGGTTCCAATGCCGTAATTTTCATTTATGGGCACATGGATCATGTTGTGATTTTAATCCATTTTTTATATGTAATAAATGTGTTGTATGTTAATATTTTATGTTTGTTATGATTTTTGTATGAAAAAAATGAATAAAATGCTTAGAAAATGATAGTCTAAAACATGCCCCACAAAAGGATAATACGTCCCCCGTCTCTTTTTCATGACTCAAAAATTTTCATTTTTTTTAAATTTAGATTTAAAAAAATATATAATATTTTTTTATTAGATATTAATTTCTACCGTAGATAATTATATAAAGAATAAAATAACATCAAAATTATTTTGATAAATTATTTCTCCTCCTTTTCACAGCCTCTTAATTTTTTATGGACAATATAACCCCGGTCTCCCCTATGATATAGAGATAACATTGCATCTTTCCGTAAAGGAAGAAATACAATTGAATTGTTGATTATAGCCTTAAAAATCAAATTAGAAAAAGTAACATTTCATAAATTTAACCTATATTTATTGACATTTCAAAAGCCTTCGACTCCATATGTAATCAATCCATCTGAAATACTCTTTTTATATAAAATCAACACACATAAAATCAAAATTATTAATATTTATGAAAATAGTTTCATTAACATCAAACAAAATACATTAACCTCATCTTTTTAAACAAAAATGTGGTATAAAACAAAGATGTGTTTCACCCCTCATTAGATATGTATATTATAATGATAAAGATACCAGACAATGGGTTTAAATTTCCAAACAGTGGATATTAATCCACTACACTGGGTATGCTCTCTAAAGGGTATTAATAATAGCTGACTCCTCTCCAGGTTTTATTTCAGTAAAAATAATAATAAGTTTAATTTATTCTTTCCTTTTTTCTTTTCCCTTTCACTGTTCCTTTTCTACCTTTTTTCTTTACCTTTCCAATTTTTATAGGATTATTAAAATGCTGATTTAGGTCAATTTACAAAAATGACCCTATTATTATTTTAGACAAAATAATATTATATAAGCCTCGAGATTGGGTAAAATATGGGTCCAAACATTTTTGCCATCTACCATCAAAATCTTCAGTCATACATATTTGCCTAAAATAATTGGGTTGTTTTTAAAAATCGACCTAATTTTAACAATCCTATCTTCACCTCTTTCCCCCTTTTCTTTTCATTATTCCCTTTTTCATTTCCTTAATCTTTTTCTCTCCCCTTTCCTTTACTTTTTTCTTTCTCTTTCCCTTGCCTTTCCATTTTATTTCTCTTACCCTTATCCTCTCCCTGCTCCTTTCCATATTTTCTTTCCTTTCCCATTTTCTTTTCCTTCTCGTTTTTCTTTCCTTTTTCCTTGCTGTTTCTTTTCCTTCTCATTTTTCTTTCCTTTCCCCTTTCCTTGCTTTCTTTTCCTTACCCTTTTTCATTTCCCCTTTTTCTTTTCATTTTTCTTTCACTTTTCCCTTTTAATCTCTTTTTCTTTCACTTTCCTTTTTTCTCTATTTTTTATTTCACTTTCCATTACCCCGTTTTCTTTCCTATTTCCTTCATCTCTCTTTTTCCTTTCCCTTCCCCAATTCACTTCAGTACTGCTTCTTTCTATTTTTCTTTTCCCTTTTTTCCTATCATTCTTAGATTAATTTAAACTGATTGATTGCCATTTTCCTTCAAGCACCGGTAATTTACCATTAAAAGTTTGATCTAAAAAGGAAAAGGATCTATCAAAAAAAGTCCGAATTTAAAAAGGAAAATTGTTATTTTTTTTAAATATTTAAAAAATTTATATTCTCAAGGATCCTACGTGATAGAAAGCTTGCCAAATTCTCCAAACAATATTCATCGTAATTCGCATATATACTTATTATTTTGCATAGTAAATATTTGTATAATTTTTATTTCTCATTGTTCCTGCTCAATAAAATTAGCTATTAAAAATATACTCATTTATATTATGGCAATACATAAATTAATAATATTTTCTTAATATCCGTTCTTAACCCGATACTCATAACATATTTTGTGATCCTTCTACATTTGTTATTTATGGGAATTTCTGACATTTGATTAATTAGAAATTTAAGGAATTTTTCAAAATTATTATGGGATTGGCTGTGCTTGGAAAATATTCCTCAAAATTAATATAGGCTTGGGAAATTTATTAAAATTATTATGGGTTGGACTAGGTTTCAGAAAAAAATTCAAAATTATAATGGGTTGGGCTGGGCTTGGAAAATATCAAAATTATTAAGCTCTTGGACGCTTGAAAATTTTTTAATATATAATATGAGCCAGACATTGGCCTAAAAAAATTTTGCAAGCCTAATCGGGGCCTGATCAAAAAAAGGACTCATGAAGTTATGATTTTTTTAAAATTTTATTTTTGTTTTGAACTACCAAAATTATTATGGTCTTGAACCGGGTTTAAGGAAATTTTTTCAAAATTATTATGGGCTTGGACCTGGCTTTTGATTTTTTAATATTAAATACTAGCCATTGGTTATCAATAATATTTTAACAAAGAATTTTGATATGGGTCTTAAGTAAAAGTTAATTTAAATATATTTTTAATCAAAAGATAGTATTCACTTAGCATTAATGGATTGAACTTGGCCTACCTAAAGGAGAGGGGAGGGGGGGGGGATAAAAAGTATAAAAATTGGATATGGTTTTTAAATAAAAGTTAACATCAATCGTAAGAGAACGAATAAAATTCTCATTACCCGTCATTTTTGACAGGCTTTCTACTAGTAACATCATAAATAGGACAGAGATTTGTCATTTATTATAGGTCCTTTCTTCACAAGAACCGTTTTATAAATAATTGGATCATATATCAAATGATCTCTTTCCTCATTCCTGTTTTCGCTTCAATAAGGGTTTGAAGTTCCTGGAGGTAAAGAAATTTTCGCTAATCTTGCCTAATTATTGCTTATATCATTTCCCATGACATAGTTTTAAAATTCAAATTCATTAATGTTTTAAATACCATATGATAACACTCTTCTGTAATAAAAATCTAAATACATAACATACCTATTTAATCACTAAATTTTCCAAAAATTTAGAAAAATCTCAATAGCGCACACAACAGGGAGATCCCCTACCCCGCCTTTTTTGTATTAGAATCCACAAAATAATTACGAATATTAATCTACCTCTAATCTCATTATATATTCCTGGTATCTAGATGATGGTATTGTTGTTGGCAATTATCATACCTGTCTATTCCATCGAGAAACTCACATATTACTTGAGTACAAAAAATCTACAAAAATGATTTTTGAGCAAGATCTCACTCAAAAATTTGAAAAGATCTTTGCAGATCGTGAAATTTTATCTATTATTAAAATTTTGAGCAACGATTTTCAAATATCGATATCTTTAATGATCTTAAAATGAAGGTTTTTTATTTTAAGAAAAAATTGATCAACTATATTGAAAGATTTAAATCTTTTGAAGAACACAAAACTTGAAGATTTTTTATTAAAAAAATATTATAACAGCAATTTTGAAAGATCGAGATCCTAGAAGATTTTTTATTTAAAAATAATTTTGATCAACGATCTCAACTTACAATATATTATAGTAAATTATTATTTTTATAAAAAAAAATTTGGAGTAAATGGTTTAAATGTGAAAGATAAAATATATAAATTGTCAGCATTAAAATTTCAAGTGAAAATATATCACAAATAAGTAACAATTATCATATTTGTTGTAAGTATATATATATATTTGTCTTGAAATTTGAGTACATCGTCGTATTACTTTTAATTTTGTATATTCATTGTCAAATTTTTGTTAATTTAGCAAGTCATTATTACTATAAAAATTAATATTTTTATTAGGAAAGATTATTAATCTAATGGTATAAAAGAGGGAAAAAAAGAAGAAAAAGATTATTGAAATTATTTTATTTTAGGGGGATTTTAATTATTTGTTTTGTGTTTGTGAATTGAATAAAATAGAGCTTTGAAAATAGTGCAATTAAGTAAACAAATATATATAAGGTTAACCCCATTAATTATCATTTCATAAAATATTAACCTCATTAAGTAGTAACATAAAATTTAGTGGCTACCCCGACGCCCAAATTGGAAAAAAGGTTTTAGAAAATAAGAAAAACAAATTGGGAAAAAAAGGTTTTAAATAAGAAGGAAAATCTAAAAGTATTTAAAAAAGAAGGAAAACCATGTGAAAAAAAGGTTTTAAAAAAGAAGGAAAACCAGGTTGGGAAAATGAATGTCAGGCCTAGAAATATAATAAAAAGAGGTGGATGTATATGTGCATCTTTTACAATATTACAAATAGTTAAAAACTTTATATTAAAAGTATTAATCACATTTTTGTAAGGTAAAATGAAAACTTTTAAATTTATTAAGTTCTGGGAGATACAATATAATATTTTGGGGGCATTGGTCATATTAGTAATATAGATGTATATTTTGATTTGGAGAAGAAGAGTTAAGAAAAGTCGTATCGTAAGGATAAAGGGGCAGACTTTAAAAATAGAGGGACATAATGGGGAGGAAGATGTTATGGGAATAACGTGACTGCCGGCCCAGAAATTAATATGTGGACGGATAGTGATGTAGACAAATTAACAAGTAAGCCTGAAAGGAGGGATTCAGATACATCAGAGGTTGGGGCCGTATAGGGGACCAAAAGAGATTTCTCAGGGGAGGAGGAAATAAGACCAAGCTTTGATTCTAGAATGAGGGGGAGGATGAATTGTTATAATTGCGGAAAACAAGGACATATGGTCAGGGAATGCGGGAGGCAAAATGTTTCTAATGTGGAAAGTTTTTTCATATAGCCCCGTATTGTCCTGTTAAACAAGAGAAATTACGAGCCAGCTTTGGAAGATTTGGTCATAAAAAGGAGGAATGTAGTACGGGAAATTAAAATACCATAGGTGTGCAAACTATTGAAATGCAAGGATTGATGGGATAGTGATACAGGGCATGGAAGAGAGGGACGTTGGAGAGCAGAGCATTGGAGAGCAAACAGCGGAATATTTTAGACGTCGAGAACTGGGACATGTGGCAAGAGATTGTGGTAATTGGTGACTATATGATGGTTAAATAAATGCGACACGGGTCCAG